ATGCGCGCTTTATCGCAATGCGCGTTTCTTCTTCACACGTGGTGTAGGCCGCATACGCTGCTGCGATATGAACCACATTTCAGAACAAGAGCGGCTACACTCCTCATTTTCGAATCACCTACTCATGTCCTCTTTCTGGCCTCATTTCTTCTCCACTTGATTCCAACTCCTCATTCCCCCCGTTCTCTCCATTCTCTCGCCCGTCCCTCTCCTTGCCTCCCGTTCCCTGCTTCCTCTCCCATCCCCTCCCCTCCTTGTTCTCGTTCCTTTTCCCCCTTCGCCAACCGCCCTCTCCCATTTGTTTTCAGAATACCCTTGCCCCGCGCGCGCCTACTCTCCTCCGCTCACTCGCTAGCCGCCGCGTCCCCTTTCCGCGCCGACTGCTGCGCCACTCCGCCAAGCGCAACGCGCGCTCTCCCCTACAGGCGGAGGGCGTGGCGCGTAGCGGCTGCAGGGGGCGAGGGCGAGGCGGATGCAGGGGCGTCGGTGACCACTGCGGGGGATAGCGCAGTGAGGACGGGTGAGTGGGGATGGTGAGAGCGGGTGAGTGGAGGTGGGAGAGTGGGGGCGGGTGAGTGGCAGTGGCGAGGGGAGGGCGGGCGAGCGAGGTATTTTTCCTTTCCTCCCCTCCTTCCACCCTTCTCCCCTCCCCACAAGCATCCCACGGGTTGTCCGTTTGATTTGCCAGAATCCTTTCCCCACACCCTTCCCCCCTCGCACCCTTCCACCCCGCTCACTCACCCTCCTCTTTTCCCCACAAACTTCACCCTCTCTCACGCTTCCCCTCTCGCACCCATTCCCGCACCCCCCCCCTCCTCTCTCCAGTCCCCGCCACGCGTTCAGGTTGCGCCAGCAGTGGCAGTGCGCAACCTGGTGGCGCAGGCGCAGTACGCACAGCTCTGCTCCATCGTGTCCCGCTCGCACCACCGCCACAAGGGGTACCCCTCTGGATCGCTGGTCGACTTAACGACCGCTGCTGATGGCCGTGAGTCAACGAGGGGGAGGGTGGGGGGGGAGGGGGAGAGCAAGATGGGCAGTTGGGGCAGGGAGAAGAGGGGAGAGTGAGAGGAAAGGGATGCCCAAATGAATGCATGCTGACATGCTACACTCCACCCCCATTCCCGGCCATTCCGCCCCCCCACCCCGTTCCCCCCAGACCCCGTGTTCCTGCTGTCCCCCCTGGGAATGCACTCGCGCAACCTCCAATCCGACCTGCGCTGCACCGTACTCGTGCAGATCCCTCCTCCTGCCATTCCCCTCATCACCCCCACCTCACCTGCCCACCCCCCAACCCCTCCGTTCCCCCCAGACCCTGTCTTCCTGCTGTCCCCTCTCGGCATGCACTCGCGCAACCTCCAATCGGACCCGCGCTGCACCGTGGTGGTGCAGATCCCGGGGTGGAGTGGCCTTGCCAATGCGCGCGCCACCATATTCGGGAATTCGTGCACGCTGTACCCCCACGCGCAGGAGTGGGCGCGGGCCGTTTATGTGAAGAGGCACCAGCACGCGGCACATGAGTGCTCCTTCGCACTATGCATCCACTACTGCTCTTCACCTCCCTCCATTTCCCCCCTTCTTTCCCCCGCCTCCACATCTTACCGTTGCCAGCTGTGGGCGTGGGGCTTCTATGTGAAGCGGCACCAGCACGGGGCGGCGCAGCAGTGCTTCCATTTCTATCGCATAAATACCATCTGGTAACTGCATGGACAGGGTAACCACATGCATGGATTCTATCTTGTGACTGAGTGGTCATTGTTGTGTTGTGATACATTCTTGTGTGTTTGAAGCAAACATCCTGGCACAGTGGCTCAATATTAAGTCGATTCTTTTCCACGCCCATGTCCTTCTCTCCCTTCCTCGATCACCCCCAGCGACATCTATTTTGTGCGTGGGTTTGGCACAGTGGCATGGATACACGTGGCTGAGTATGTGCCTGCCACGCCTGATACCGTCGCCACCAACCAAGTTGAACACACGCCACACTGCAGATGAGGCTGAGAGGGAACATACTGTTGGTGAGGCTGAGAGGGAACATACTGTTGGTGATGCTGAGAGAGAACATATTGTTGGTGATGCTGAGAGGGAACATACTGTTGGTGAGGCTGAGAGGGAACATACTGTTGGTGAGGCTGAGAGGGAACATACTGTTGGTGAGGCTGAGAGGGAACATACTGTTGGTGAGGCTGAGAGGGAACATACTGTTGTGAGGCTGAGAGGGAACATACTGTCCGGGCTTGTGTCGGGCAACTTACTTCAGTCGGGCAACTTACTTACTCCAGCAGGTAACTTGCTACTTGATGCCAGGTACCAGGTAGGCACATGGGGTGCAACGAGGTGCGATAGCCCTCCTGTGCGGTGCATGCAGCAACAGGCCCCTGAACATTTTGTGTGTATGCAGCAGCAGCAGCAGCAGCAGCAGCAGCAGCAGCAGCAGCAGCTGCACCGTGGTGGTGCAGATTCCGGGGTGGAGCGGCCTTGCCAACACATGCGCCACCATCTTTGCAGTTCTCTACCCCCTGCCGCCGCCCAGCCAGCAGGTGCGATTGCCACTCCTGCCGTGCCGCCCAGATAGCTGGTAGATGCTTGATATCAGACACGGCACATAGGGTGAAGCGAAGTGGGGTAGCAACCCACTAGCGTGTATTCATCAGCAATCCTCTTATTCTCCCTAACCCCCCCTCCCATCAGTGGCCCTCACGTCACATTCTGCCATCCATCCGTCAGTGCCCCTCACCTCCCACAGCTATGTGGATTTTACTTTTGAGAATTCTCAAAAGTAAAATCCCTCAGTGCCCCTCACTTCACCTCCCACAGCCCATCATCCCCCCCCCCTCTACAACCCACCCCCATCAGGAGTGGCGCGGTGCTTCTATCTATGTGAAGCGGCACCAGGACGGGGCAGCGCAGCAGCACACATCTGCTCTCCTGGCTGCACTCCGTGCATTGCTGTGCAACACACACTACAGATGAGTTAAAGGGCAGATATTGTGTCCTCACAGGTTAGTCTGGAGCACACACTAGTGGGCCGGCTTGGCACAGTGGCATGGATTGACGTGGTTCAGTATGTGGCAGCAACGCTGCAGGTGAGGTAGCTTCTGAGTTGGCCCAAGAGTGGATTGGCGTGGCTGAGTATGTGGCTGTCACACCCGATACCGTCGCCACCAACCATGCGGAGCACACACCGCAGGTGACGGAACCGAGGTCGGTGCTGGCAGGCCCAGGCAGTGCGCACTGTCATTGTGCTCCCCCCTTTCTGCTCTCCTTCTCCCTTCACCGCCTCTCATTGTGCCTCTCATTCGGCACTCGTTTCGCTGCTCCTTCCAGATCCCCTATCGGTAAGACTCTCCAGAATTAGCTTCCTCCTTTGCCACTCATGCTCTGCTCCTTCCCATTCCACACCACTGACAACCCTTCTGCTGCTACACCAGCCTTAAGTCAACCGCCCCCCTCCTATCTGGTCTGGACCCCCCCACACACGCAGCAGCCTCACCATCAGCCGCATCGACTCACTGTCCACGTCCAGTCACCACCGCTCACCATAGCGCGCCGCTCACCATAACGCGCCGCTCACCATAACGCGCCCCGGCTGTCGATCATCCCACTCACTGTGGGTCACCCCACTCACTGTCGGTCACCACACTCACTGTCGGTCACCACACTCACTGTCGGTCACCACACTCACTGTCGGTCACCACACTCACTGTCGGTCACCACACTCACTGTCGGTCACCACACTCACTGTCGGTCACCACACTCACTGTCGGTCACCACACTCACTGTCGGTCACCACACTCACTGTCGGTCACCACACTCACTGTCGGTCACCACACTCACTTGTCCCTATGCGACCGGTCGGTCCCCATGCGACCGGAAAATGTTAGCAAACTAGCATAGCTTGAAGAACAATGTTCAGTCCTCATTCATGCACCAGTTGCACTCTTCTTTTATTCCTATACGCGTTCTTTGCAGCATCCGCCTCTGCTGCCTGATGCCTTCTTGGCAGCTTCTTCCTCTGCCTCCTTGTCATGCGAGGAAAGTGGGAGAGGAATAACACCATGCTGGTAGTTGATGCAATGCCATGCAATGTGATGTAGTAACCCATGCGATGTGTCATGCAACTTAATCAATGAAGTGTGTGGCCATGCGCATGGGTCTTGTGGTACTATAGCAAAGAACGTAAAACATTGTTGTATGGTATGTGAACCCTGACTGTTCCTGCCGTATGCAACCACAACTCTGGTCATTTCCAGTTCTAAAATGCCATGTAGTGTGGGTGTCAAAGCACCACCCTCCACTGCAACTTGTCACAAAATATCTCCCCCCCACCCTTTTGCCATTCCCACACCATGGCCACACTGCCATTAGCAGGTGCCGAGTCAGCCCTGTGTAGCAGCACGAGTCAGCATGAGTGTGTAAAGTCGTGCCAGGAAGGCGTTATGCAACGCAGAGCCGTTGGTCGGCACCAACACACACACGCCCTGCGACTTGACCACGCTGCTGCACAAGTGTGGCCACACACCACACACACACCCCCTCTCCCCCCTCCCCCCTCCCTCCCTTGCCACGGTCACTGCTGCTGCAGATGCCTGCCACGTGAACCTCAGCCTCATTGAGTCGCACCCTCTGCGTGCTGATGGCACGGGGAACAAGAGCGAACGCAAGGATGACAAGCAGGAGCCATGGTCAGACAGATGCCATGACATGAAACAGAGATGCGCATCACCATACAGCAGGGTGTTAATGCATCCCCCTCGCAGACAACACAAGGTCCTTCCCATTCGGTTGCCTCTCAATAAAATCTCCCATATCCGTGCCCCTTACCATCCACCACACTCAGCTACCGCCCATGCGCCTGCAGCTCTGCCTCGGCGGCCCTTCTCTTCTCCACCTCCCTCTCCACCTCTCCCTTCAAGCGCTCCACCTCCTGCTGCAGTCGGTCCCTCTCCGCTGCCACTCCCCGTAGCGCCACCTCCCTGCTCTGCACCTCGCCCCTCTCCACATGCAGCGCCCGCTCCACCTCCTGGCGCCATGCAGCCGACAAGGGGGACGAGGAGGGACACGGAAAGAGAGTGGGTTTACTGGGATGGCCAATGATTGGATACTGGGTCCAGCAGCTTGCTCTATGACCGCTGCCAACAATTCACCTAGAACTCAGTGAATGAGGAACACTAGACAGTTACCTAGAGCCAGAGCAATACGGCGCAGGCACTCGGAGAACACAGGATGGGATGGGCAGGGAGGAATCGTAAGGCGAAACATGCATACCTCAAGGCGCCTCTTCTTTGCAGCATGCGGTGCTGTGGGCACCGCAAGGACCCTTCCCCCCTCCGCAACCCCAGGCACTGTCACTGTCACCAACCTCCCGTCCACTCTCCCTGCACCAGCACCGTCACCATCGGCAGTGCCAGCAGCGGCAGCATGCGGCACAAGAGGCATGGCAGGTGCCACAGGTTCTTGTAGCCAGTGCGCTACCACCTGCTCCTCCTCGTCGTATGACTGCAGCATGCAGCGCAGGGAGTCCCTCTCCCGCACCACCACTGCCATCTGCACTCGTGGGAACGCAGTGGCGGCCGTGTTGGCATAAGGGCATGTGCATGCGGGGTTGGGAGAGTGAAACCCAGTGAGTGGCCCAAAGGAGATCTATGTCGCTTGTAAGCGAGAAGGACGAGCGGGCTGGGTCAACCGCAGGGGAAGAGGAGTAATGAGGCGTGAGGAGAGCGACGAGGGTGGGAAACCGGGCAGGAGGGAGGGGAGAGGGGGAGGGGGAGGGGTATGGGGAAGGGCGGGCAGGGGTGCATGGGGCGCACCTCAGAGTCCTTGCCATCCAGCTGCCCCTGCAACTGCACCACCTGCCGCCTCGCATCGCTCTCCCCCGCCCTTGCCTCCTGTGCTGCCCTCTCTGCTGCTGCCACCGCTGCTCTCAGCGGCACCACCTGCGCTGCTGCCTCGCCCGCCTCTGCCATTGCACACAGAGCCGCACTGCCAAGTGCACAAGGGGGGGGGGTGGTGCGGGAAGGTTTGGGGGATGGTGAAGTCAAACAGGGACTACAAAAAAAAAAAAAAGGCACAGGATGTTGCAGGACCTGCTGCGTGGTTGCACGCACAACAGAAGGGGCACAACTCGAAGAAGATCCAGAGAAGGCACTGCCTTCTCAATGAGTGTTACCTCTGCACCTTCCCAATGGCAGCAACCACATCTTCAGGCCCGTATTCCTTGCCTTCCACCGTCCCTTCGCCACCACCACCCCCACGCCCTGCTCCCTCATCTTCTCCGTGCCCCGCCACAGCCACTCCTGCCTGTGCCTCCTCTGCGCCCTCCGGCTTGGTCCCCCTGGTCCCATGAGGAACCAGGACAGAGGCGGCGAGGTGAAGGGCAGGCGAGTGCAGCAGGGCGCGCCAGCGCTGCAGGTCGCGCTGGGCGTGCCTGAGCTGCACTGCCATGTCTGCCGCTGCTGCTGCTGCCGCCTCTGCTGCATCCGCCCTCGCTCGCTCGACCAGCACCTCCTGCTGCAACACGTGCCACCGCTGCCGCCCCTCCTGCTGCCTCTCCGCCTTGCTCACCTGCTCCAGCTGCACAGCGGATTGGGGGAGAGAGAAACAGCTCTGTGACTTTGAATCGAAGTGAGCCGACTCAAAGGGTCTCTGCTTTAACCACCTGCTCCAGGTGCACGGGTGATGGAGGGAGAGAAGCAAATGAGAGGAAGGTGGCGACAGCCTTGCCAACAAACTTGTCGAATCTGGTTGGCCAGCAGAACAATTCTGTGAGCAGGGAAGAGTGTGATTCTTGCTCATACCTACCTTACACCACGACCGCCCCCTCAACCTCATCCCCTTCCACCACTCTCATCCCCTTACTCCCTCAAGTTTTTTCCCTTCCACCCCACACACTCCATGCCCATCATCTCTCCCTCCCCTCCTCCCCTTTCCCCCCATGTCACAGCACCAGGAGGCGGTTGTCCTCTCGCAGGCGGGCCAGCAGCGCATTGGCCTCCACAGCCGAGGTCGACTTCCCCAGCGCGCCCTCGCCCCTCACGCGCTCCAACTCACACCTCACATCCGCCGCCTCCCTCACCGCCTGCCACACACACACAGGTAGCCAACGGGAGAGCGGGGCGGGAGGAGGGGCGAAAGTGGTACGTCGAACCAATGCGTTTGAATAACTTTACATTGACTTGCCAGGTCATGTCATGCATGAGATCATTCATGCCCTCACACCAGGAGCATCACCAAGCAGCACTTGAGCATGCTGCGCGCACCTCTGCATGCTGCGCGCACCTCTGCATGCTGCGCGCACCTCTGCATGCTGCGCGCACCTCTGCATGCTGCGCGCACCTCTGCATGCTGCGCGCACCTCTGCATGCTGCGCGCACCTCTGCATGCTGCGCGCACCTCTGCATGCTGCGCCCTGAGAGCGTCTGCTTCGTCCTCCAGTGACTCCATCTCCACCCCCATCGCCTCCATGCGACTCACTCCCATGCGCACCTGATGCTCCACACAGGGGGAGGTGGGAAAGGCGGGGGAAGGGGGGTGAAGGCACGCCAAAAACGCACGCATGTGAAGGGTGGAAAGGGAGCACAGACCAAGGCGTGGAGCTTTGAAGCGCTTCATACTGCATGCCATAGCATTTCCATTAGTCACTTTCAAATGCCCTCTTAACCACAGCATACCACTGCTTGCCTCATTCGCGCTTGCTTGTTACTACAACCCCCATGCCCATACCGCCTGCACCCAAGCACCCCACCTCAGCCTCCAGTCGCGCTATCTCCCCCTCTGTGTGTGCTCGCACACCCGCCACCTCCCGTTCCCGTGCCGCCTGCACCGCGCGCACCTCCTCCTCCGCCCTCGCCTGCCTTGCCTCCGCTGCTGCCGCCCGCGCCTCTGCTGCTGCTGCTTTCGCCTCTGCCTCTGTGCTCCGCTTCGTGAGGTTCAGCACTTGCAGCTGGGACGGGAAGCGGGGGGAGAGGGCAAGGGAGAC